GCGACGCCGCTCATCAAAAACCTTAATCAGTGAGAAAAAAAATATAACTAATCTAGAAAATCATTCCCAAGAATGATCCTCTTCAAAAAAAAAAACCTATCAGTAGCCAAAGTAAAAGTACGAACTTCAAGTCAAGAAAAATTAGTAATAAAAAGTTTTTTTCATCCTGATAACAATGTATACAGATTGCCTTGCTTATCAGAATCCTTAATATTTTTTTGCTAGATAAGTAAGTCTTACTTTAATGCTTCTCGATTTAATAATTAGTAATGATAATACTGTTTTCATAATTAACAAAGAAGTAAGAGTAGATAAAACATTTTACATTAATTTAGTACTCAAAAATTAGGAAAAAAAGTGGAAAGTAGATTTGCTATTTCATATTTTTAAAGATTTGCAATAAATAGAAGTACATTATCACATCATTTACTAGAAAAATTTACACTTAAAATAGAATTTACACTAAATTCATCATTTTCATTTTTTAACAACAACTAATAAAATTATTCATTTTATTTCATTTTGAATACAATTACAATATTTTTTTTTTCTAATTTTTATTACAACAAAATCCAAACTCTTTTTTTTTTTTTTTTTTTTAACATGGTTATACATAAATATTACTATAAAGTCAGTCATACAAGTAAATATGCTTTAGATTTCAAGCATTATGTATGATCAACCATCACCATGTATTTTCACGTACGAGCCGTGGTCAACGTGTTCTGCAAGTTGTTGGGATGGTTCATCAAATTATCCTCAAATGCAACGTTATGTGAATAAAAATTCAATCGTACAAGCACGTGGAGGTGAGAAGCCAGACTGTCCTGATGATTTGCATAGTCGAGTGGATCTTGCACCTTGCAACACTTTCAGGTCATCAATATAACTAATTTTTTTATTTCAAATCGATCAGACTTTGTTTTGTGTTTTCCTGAAATCAACAAACTGAGAGAGAGAGAGAGAGAGAGAGAGCAATACTTTCAGATGTCCCACAAATCTTTCACAATATCCATTCACTCAATGTTACTACAAAGATTCATTGAAAGAATCCTCTGGTGGATGTTATCGTATTCGTAATATACCATTGGATGATCGATTAATTTTTATGGATGCTAATTTAACGAAGGATTGTTCGGAAGCAGAATGTGATCGCATTGAAACTTTCTTATTTTAATTCATTAAGCAAATTGTATTTTGTTTACTGATGGCTAATGCTTAGTTAGTAAAATAGAAAAACTATAATATATTCCTCATTTTATTGGTAAATTTCTCAATAAATCAATCAAGTAGTAAAAGAGCAGAGAAGAGTTATTTGAAATTAACAAAAATTTGTTAAATAATTTTATTATCAATCCAAGTTGAAATTTAGCAAAATAGTTTATATGAAAGAAGGAAAAATGGATGGAAAAAAAGAAAGAAATTGAAGCAAAAATTTCATTTTTATAGCTAATTCCTTTTCAATAGATATATTGGAATGCTTTAGATATGCGTAAAATTGTTATCTGAATTTTTTTTTTCCCAATAATTCTTGAAATTTTTACATAATTTCCGAAGTTTTTAGGATAAGGATGATGCTTAATGAAGAGTTCATTGAAGTGTTAAAATAGATTATCAGAATAAGTAAATTTACATTAGTTAGGAATGATTTCATTGCTTTCAACATACGCATTCCAAAGTATGCATGTCGTCCTGCATATATGTTATGCATGCAGCATGCATAATTTGCTATATAAATGCTTACAAAATGAAAACAACAATCAGTTGTACTCTACCTCAATCTCCTGTTCAATTGACTCACATTAAGGAAGTACTTTTGATTTATGTTTTCGATTTAATATATAGAATTTGTTCTCCTGAAAATGACTATAGTTTACACTCAAATATATTCGTTTTAATAGTATATTGATTTCACTAATTTTTTGCTTTTTTTAAATAATCTCACATCAAATTAATATGTCTAAGTTGTCCGATTTAGAGTGAGATAAAATGGAATCAATACCCTCCAGTTCACCTTCACATACAGGAGCTACAGGTACAGGTTCAGATCAACCCGCTGAATCACTTCCCAAAGCAAAAATTGACTCACCCACGGAGGTAACTTTTAATTTCTCCCTTCAACATATTATTTAATTAAATGAAATATCGCTAGTTTTTATACAGTACTATCTGTTAGATATAATGCAAGAAGAATTAGTCCCGAGATATTCGGTTAATTATTGATTAGTATGCTGATTATTTCTCAGATGATTGAGATAAATTATAGTAGTGAGTGCACAGAAATTTAGGATTCTGGAACTAAAGGAAATTTAGGAAGAATTACCGCAAAATGAGAAAAGCCCGATACCATCAACTACCGATGTTGAACAGTTAAGTGAACAAGCACCAGATATGTTCAAAGTATCTGCTGGAGAAGCTACAGAAGAGGTATCTGAGAATTTTATCAAATCCAGAATTCAACGAAGGATTATTACGTTTAGAAGAAGTCAGTAAACATTAAATTTTTGTTATAGCTCTCAGATATCAGCGAATTCGAAGGAACGATAAGCAAATCAATCAAATCCAGTCGTCTTGCAACCATAATTTATGTTTGTTATTTTAACAATTCATTAAGATTCAATAAAATTTAAACTTTCCTGAACATATCCTCAGTATATCATTTTGTACTATAAATAATATTTGCAGCAAATCTCACCATTCATTCGCAATAAGAAAGTTCGTCTAATGCTAATTGTTAATTTCATCTTAGCAGTTATTAACATGCTTTTATTACTTGTACTTATTACGCTTATAATCTGGAGCATCATTCTAAGCGCTCACGTAAGTGTGCTTATTTGTATATCACAACACTTATGTAAATACCACAAGCATTTGTTTATAACTTTATTTGCAATTTTTTGATAAATTTGTTTGATAACTATTTTTTTTTCTTAAATACCTTTGTTAAGACATATCTTTTTTTCTTTAAAAAAAAAAAAAGAAATATTTTATCATCTGTGCAGTTCTATTGCAGAAATGCCTTATATATTATTGACTTTTGAGGTTAAACTCTCTACTCCAAAGAAACTAACTCTTTCCAAGATTGTATTGCATATTTTATGCTTCGTAAAAAAATTGAAAGAGCAGTCATTAATTGAAGAACTTTGTTATCAGTTTTCATTATTCTTAGCTTCAATATCATGTAAAATTGGGTATGAAATATGCACTTTCTTTTGGAGCTGTATTTAATTAAAAAATTGGTGACTAAATTTAATTTTAAGAAAAATATTACAGATAAGGAGTGCAACGGGAATAGTCAAATTTCCATGCTTTTTTACTTATCTTGAATGGTCTGATTGCTCATCTACATGTCGAGTTTCCGGACAAGATTATCCACAACGTTTTCGCAAAGTGAACAAAAGTTCCATTATACAAGCTCGAAATGGTGGAAAGCCAGAATGTCCATCGAATTTGGTCGATCAAATTGATAGTGCGCCATGCAATACTTACCTGTTAGTAAAGATATCGTTGAATAATGGTTGAAGAATGAGTAACTAAGTACTATTAAACTTTATTTATTTTACTCATAGATGTGCAAATAGCACTGATCGAATCAAACAATATTTTGATTTTACCAATTTTCTCTAACATTTGATGCACATCATTAAGCATCAGTACTTATTTTTATTCTCTATCCTTGAAATACAAACAAAATAATTAAATTAATCTTTAACTAACTTAAATTATCGAAAAATGCGAAAGGGAAGTGTGTTTTCAGATGTCCAACAAATCTATCGTCTTATGGGTTCAGCGAACACTGTCATTACAATGATGCAAATCTACGAACTATAGGTGGATGCTTTAAGATTCGAGATGTACCATTAGACGATCGACTTATTCTTATCGATACAAACTTAACTGAAAAGTGTGATTGTTCAAGTGTTGTTCACCTTTAAATTCATATTAAAAATATCAATTCCTTCTCCATTTGTGATCGATATGAATCGTTAACTTTCTTTGTTCAACAACAAATTTCTCCAAATGGAATCATTTCTCCTTTCATCTACAAAGATTCTTCATCTGTCGAAATGTTCTATTCAGTGCGCTAATGTCAACTTAGCGCTTTAAATGTTCGAATTACTCTTCCTAAATCTTCGATATTTCCGCATTTATTACATTCTAACTGATACTTATCAATTTGTCAAGCATTCAACGATCACCAATATTCCATATGATAGTGCAGTAATCATTGTTATAGATCAAAGTACACTTTTCAACAAATCTAAAATTCAAAAAATCCCAACATCCATCATTTTTCAAAATTGATTTGACCCGGAAAATCCAAATAAGTAAAGCATCTCAGTTTATCTCTACTGCTTTGCCTAGCATCCACCAATCTTCCTAAAATCATCTCTCTTCCAGCTGACATCACCTCCATTCATTTTGCTACTGTTACTGTCACTAATACAGTACTCTCAGTATCCTTTCTCAGACAGTACCTTTGATGAATTTGTTCATCTACTAGCGTTACTGTAACATATACTACTGTCACATTGCCATTGTCTCACTAAATATCGTCTATGTTATGCAAATTTCATACTCTAATTTAAGAATAAAGAAGGAACTTATTTCCGGAAAACAAATGCCATTCCGGCTAGGCAATCAGTAACCGAATTGTCAGCCAACAGTAACGTAAGCTTCTACCATTCTAGACAAAACGATCCAAACAATCTCAGCAACTCTCCCTCTCCCTCTCTCTCTCCCTTTGGTCACATGTAATCCTAATTTGCATATCGGTCCGTACATGAACGAGCGAGTCTTTTTTGAAATTTAAGCGCCAATATTTTTCTTTGGATGTTTATTTAATTTGATTTGTTACACTTGACAAGGGTGAATTGTTAAAGCTTACTTCATTTATTTCTATTACTTTTTTCTTGCTGATATTCGATCACTTTCGTTTTCATTAATTTGGATTGATTAATCGCTGAAGGAAGAAAAGACTTGAGAATTCGTCAAAATCGATGGTGGTGGGATTTTTTGAATCATTACCATCTTTCGTTAAGTAAGTTATTTCTAATCTTTTTAGTGCTTCACATGTTTTTATCATTTCCAACTAATTCTTCAGTAAATAACTGGCTTTCAGTTTTTTATTAAGCAATTTTCAATTGGTTTTTATTTTAAATTGCTTGTAACTTCAAATTTTAGGCAACGAATTTTTTTTTTTTTGAATTTTTAATTAAGCACAAACACATTTTTAATTGCAAATTTGCAAATGCGCGAAACATAGATTAATAGTTTCTTATGGAACCGAATACACTAATTATGTCGTCTTCAACAAAAATTTGGATTTGAGAAACTAAAATCTATCAAATTACAAACGATCATATGGTTGATGTTATTTCAGGACGTTGCCAGAAACGAAACAGTTGGATTACGTTTTGAAGTATGTTGCATATTAAACAGCTAGTCTTCAATTTTGTATAGCTGATGTATAGTTACACTTCCTACGTAAAGTCATGACATCAGTACTGTGGTGAGTTGGAACTACGCCATTAGGTAGTTTTTGCATTTCTTCAAGTTTCAGTCAGTTGAAATGGATGGAAACAAATTTCGAAGACAAAGAAAGTCATCATCGTCTACGAAAAGCTGCCATGGAGACCGTATTGCGGTATTCTGTGGAAAGTAGTCCGTTTTATAACGATGAACGATTGTTACACGTTTTCTGTATTGTTGTAAGTAAATTTTTAGTCTTGAAAAGCAATACTTGTTAAATTTTGAAACTTATAATACGCTTTAATGATTTTCCGTACTGCAATTAGTTTACTATTTAGCTTCAAAAAATGATCTGTCACTTGGAAGAGAAGGTTGTTGAGTAAAGTAATCAACAGTAATTTAATTAATATACAAAAGCTTTTTGTTGTTGTCTCTTTGATACTACGTTATTATCAAATTATATCTCCCAAACTAAATGTTACAGTTATTTGCTAAAATGCGATTTCATTTTCGCTAAGGATTTTCTTCAAATAATCAAATAATATGTCTTTTATAGATTTAATTTAGGGAAAATTAAGTCGTACAATGGGGATGAAGTTAGTGATGGAAGAGTTACACAATCGAAAACAGTTTCATGAACTGGCAGAGTTTTACGTCAAATGGGGCGAGGTAAAGAATTGGCTTTTTGCAGCAGTGCTAAACAGGATCTTACTTAATTAAAGCTTGCAATTGACATTCATTTCAGATTTTTGCAGAAGAAAAGAACAGGGAACGTTTTAACGAAGTATGGAATGAAGCCATAAAAGCAAATGCTAAACCTATTTCAAGAGTTGATGAAGCTTTTAGGTAAAAACATTATTTTATAACTTAAGGTTTGTTATACAGTATTTTATAAAAATGAATAGTATATTGTAATTTATTGTGCGTCTAACAAGGTAATCGTAAGTTGTCATAATTTTCCTATCTTATTTAATTTTTCCACTCATGAAATTGTAATTATTACTTATTTATTACAATATTTTCATCTGTAGTTGCTGTATCTGTAAGTTATTTTTCTGAAAGATTTGATTGGAATGTTTATTTTTAAGGCTTCATCGACATCTACAATGTCTCAGTTATGTGACTGTACTAAAATTTCAGGGCTATGCTCTATCAGTATTTTGAAATGGATGATGAAATGACTGTAAATCTCTTCAGAAAACCTGGTATTTTTTAACAGTTAGCTGAGTGAAATTATTTGCTGTTTTTGCTTCCTAATGAAGTTGATTTTAATGATGCATTTTTTAGATCTGTCGAAAGATTTGAGAACTTTGGGGACTATTGAGGCAGCATTGTAAGTTTTTTGTCTTTTTGGTATATGAATGCAGAAAAAAATTAGTTTATATTCTGAATTATAGCATGGAACAAAAAGCACCTGAAAGTAGTCAGCGTTCAACAAAATTAACCCATGATTCCGCAGTAAAAACCCATTTAAAAATAGCAGATGAGCAACAATCAATTGAAGAAATGTTCGCAGAAGCAGGGAATTATGCCATTCATCCAGATATACTGCAGAGGTTAATAATTTGGAGGGACAATTTCTGTAGTATCTACTATTTTTATTTTGAAATAGCAAAGAAACTTTAACACACAAAAATAATTTAATCTTCATTACTATAAGCAGTAAGGTCATAAACTGTTTTGATATGTTTAAAAGATTTTGACTGTCGATTTATTAATACTTATTAGGCGCTCCAACAGAATGTCAATTTCAAAATTATCGGCCATAAGCGAGGAACGAAGCGGTTGTGCCAGTGGTTCCTTGATGATTCCATCCCACAATGTAGAACTCACGAAGTCAGCACAACCTTCAGCGGGTGATAACCCATTTCTGTTAACGTGTACTGTTGCTGCTGAAAATGACAATGACATAGATACAGACGTTCTTGTCGACAAACCATCTGGTAAGTGTTTTCAATCAGAAATTCAGCAATTTTGTGTTTCTTCGTGTTTTAAGAAAATGCTTACAGAATGTCCACAATCCTCGCATCTCACACTCCATGGCACTTCGTTTACCGAGAAATTTTTGAGTAAGGCGATGCGCGATTTCTCAAGCACAGTGCCAGTTCCACCTCCGCGTTCAGGTACGATGCTGTTTATTGAATGAACGATAAATAATAAGATTTGATAAATATTGAGGAGCTTTATACTGTAATACCAATTTTAAAGTAAGCTCGATGTACAGAAATTTATCGATTTAACTTTATTGTAGTACATCACGAAACAGATGAAACGACCGTATTACAAGAAGCAACTCTCAACGAAAGTGAACAGACTCATCTTCCTCCTGCTTCAAAGAAAACAAAGTTTGAAGTAATTTCTAAAGTATTTTTTGAAGCATTCAATTTCTTTCCAAAGGGCACAAAAACTGACTTTTTTAATTGTTTCTGTATATAGGTTTATGTGGAAGAGGCCCAACCAATAAAGCAAACTGCACCATTTGCTGTTTACAGTGATGAGAATGTCATACCACCTTCCGATGTTTTGAAAAAAAGGTTTATATTTTATCATCATTTTCATGGAATATATGAATTGATTTTTTTTTTTGTACAATGTAATTTTTAGATTAAGTATGGAGCGGGATTTGGACTGTCAAAAGAATGCGGACATTCACGATGACGACATCTATAGATCTCAGTCAGCATTCAGGAAGGTAAACATTTAATACTTTTAATGAAAAGAAATATAAATTTTTGCATATAACTTAGCACAAAATTACGTTAATTTGTTTATGCTTTCTATTTCGGCAATATAAGAACTTCAGCAAGATCTGCTATTACTGCTTAAATCTCATAGTAATGATGTGCTTTGACTTTTTCAACGGGAATCGGAAGGATCAAATCCAATTTTCTTACGGACTTCAAAACACTAAAAAATTTTAAATACGGCTTTGCAGCCTGCGATACCTACTCATTTTCGTCGTTCATCTTTTTTTGGAAAAGCTGAAACTACGTCACTTGAACATGATGACGAAACATCAATAGAGCAAAAACGGAAGTATGAAGGTTAGTCATGACATTTCAGTTTCCATCTTAATGGCACCTACACTAGAGCTTTTTGAAGTGCCAAAAGAAATATCACATAGTTTTATTTATAACTGATTTACGAGCGTATTTTTAGGATGATTGTAAATTTTTTATTCTTTAATATTCCAGGAATTAAACCTTCTCTTCCTGATCGTAATGACGAGGAAACACTGGCAGGTTTGAATAAAATGGCTAAAACAGGAGCAGTAACATCTACACCAGCAAGTAATTTTGCCCCTCCAATCGAAGATCCGATTGAAGGTTAGCTGATATTATTCAATTAGCATGGAATCTTTGTAATAGTCGTTGAATTAGTTTAATTCTATGTCCATTTAGAATCGTTTCGTCCACTTCCTTCGAACGAAGCTGATCCTTTTTTCCAAAAACCGGCTTTTGATGAAGCTATCGCTGCAAACACTGCTTTTGGAAGACGAATGAGCATGTCCGAAGTTTGTTCTTGACTTAATCTTTCATTTTTTTACGGAAGCAATTGTAGTAAAATGGATTCAACGCTAAAAAAGGAGAAATTTTTTACTTTATATCTGTCAGTTTTATCGACAACTCATTTACAGCAACGTCGAGATAATTTGATAAAGTTGTCGCAAAAAATTGGTGTTGAAAATATTGTTGGATGTAAGAAAGTGGGACTGGGTGTTAACAGTAATCTTAATGAGGAATTACGTCGACTCTCTATTGCTGCAAATGATGAGGATTCAAATGAAATTCTTCATGAAGGCTTGAAGTTAGTGTGGCATCTTCATGTGTCTTTTTGTAACGTTACGTGAATATGACAAATTTGTTCATCGCAATATTGTATAGAAAACAAATTCATTACAGATTGCACGCTGACTCCGAAGTAAATCCTTGGGATGAAAAATTACGAGACAAAATTATGACTAACCAATGTTTCTGCCCAGCGAATGTTCACGAATTCCCGGTAATTCACACTCCTTATAGAGGGATTCATACTGCTTAAACAGTATCTTTAATCTCTAATTATGCTGTATGAATCATTGTTTTTAAAATATTTGACTTTCAAAATTTTTTGGGTGAAATAAAAGGCAGTTTATCTTTTTTACAGGAAAGATGCAATCGCCTCAGTCCTGGTACTGCTATGGTTTTAGGAGGTGAACGTTTTGATATTGAATGTTTGATCGGTGAAGGCGGTTTCGCTAAAGTTTATAAGAGTAAATCGGAAGACGGCAACTTTTATGCAATAAAGGTATTTTTTTCCTCACATTTGATTGGTTCTATGGAGGAATAATGGTTTTGGCTTGAGACTATTAAATTGAAATTAATAAAGAATATATCGAGATATTCATCTGAATATCTTTAGTTCCATTCACTGTGCTGATTTGCAGTTTGAAATGCCACCATGTAAATGGGAAATTTATGCTTGCGAAACACTGCGTATTCGAATTCCAAAGGCGATGCTTGATGGCGTAATGAATATCCGCGATGCGTACTTATTTTCGAATGCAAGCGCTATTGTTTATGAATATCACAAGCATGGGAACCTTCTTGTGAGCTTTTTTCTTTCCATAAACACATAACCAGTACTTTTTAAAATCGTTTTTTAATTTGTGCTTTACAAAGCTTGGATATCTTTTTTTGACATGTTTTGAGATAAGTTCCCGGAAACTAATTTATTTTATTCCCATAATTCATGTTAACCTTTCAGGACATGATGAATAAGTTACAAGCCAAGAATATGTCATGCTCAGGTCTTTTAACAGTCTATCTTGCCTGGCAGATCAGTCGAATTCTGGAGGCAGTTCATAACGCTCAAATAATACACGGAGATGTTAAACCGGATAACTTCATGATCCTCCATCGGTTAGTTACGGTTTCCCAACGAAGATGTCAATTTCCATCATACTTTATGTATCTATGTGATTTTTTTAGCTTAAACGAAGATGCTGCACTGGAACAAATTCTCGAAAAAAAATCTTTCACATTAAAATTGATTGACTGGGGACGTGCCATCGACATGAACTCCCTGAAAGGATGCACATTCCGAGGAAAAGCTGGCACAGTCGCTTTCGATTGTTCTGAGATGCAGGTAAGATTTTTTACTTTTGGTACGCATTTTTTTTTTTTTTGAAATTTTATGCCAGCGTGATTGTGACACTTAATAAGCAACATGGTTATCTCAAATTGTTCATAAATAAAAATATAAGAATTTGAGGATGGTCGACCATGGACATACCAAACAGATTTCTATGGTTTTGTTTCAACGCTTCATGTTATAATATATGGAAAGTATATGAAGACGTACCGGAATACTGCAGGACGGTACAGCGCAACATCTGTGATGAAAAGGTTTTTTAGTTACCTGTTCCGAAGTCCGACCTCGAAGTTAAAAATTCCCTTACCTTTTAATATAAAGTGCGAAATGTGTCGAGCAACGTTACAAGTATAGCGAAAGTAATAATAGTAATAATAATCACTGGCTGTCTGCTTGGAGTTTGCATATAATTCTGATACACTTTTGGTTTCATCTGTATCATCTCTAGAGAAGATTACGGTCACGACTAGTTTATTTTTATAACGGGACTTTAATCTTCCACACCAAATAGTCACTCATTTCACTACTTTGTCATTTATAAAGAATTCTTTTAATTAAAAGCATGTTTAAAATAATTTAATCATCAGCAGTGAAAAACTAAGTAGGCATAATGCTGACGTGGTCATTACTTTTTTGCAGACGTTGGCCCCAGCGAGAGTTACTAGAAGATATATTCGACATGTGTTTGAACATACTAGATTGTGAATCGGTCCCCAAATGGTCAACAATAATTGATGGTCTTGAGAACAATATTAGGTACGTCATAAACAGCATTGCTTAATTTCAGTTCGTTAAGCTTGAAATGTAATGTAAAATCATGTGCTGATAAGGGTTCCATTACAGGTACTGGATAACGGAGGACCGAAAGTTATGGAAGCAGGCAGCTCGAGAACTAAACGCCGGCATCACACCGTGAAACTGCTCTGAAAATTGCTAAAAACTCTTCCCAAAAAAAAAGTTTCGAGAAATGAGAAATAAGACAGCCGTTTTAAGCACACACCCTGGTATATGTAATGAAATTTGAAAGGCCCTTTATATTTAACAGTCTTCAAATAATGCACATTGATACGACATTACTAACGCCGAGGGAACATAAATTGTAGTTTCGGCTTGATTTCCACACTTTTTCCTCCATTTTTCTTGATTACATACCAGATATAATGTTAGGAATGTTTCCTGCCAAAGAATCTCTAAGTACTTAATTAGGACTGCAAGTAAAAAATATTCAAGTGAATGTCACCCATAAGTTCTCTGACCAGCTACAGTTATTCAGTAAGATTAAGATATTATGGCTATCAGTGAACTATCTCCATTTCACCTTGTATAATGTGATTTCTTCGTTCCATTACGTTCTTGAAAAACAAAATAGTTCTGCTCAGCTGATACTAAAAGCTTTCATAATATATTTCTTGATCGGTTAATTCAGTCAGTGACCAACATTTTCTCGGTTTCAAGCTTCATAGATATTTTGCGTTTCATGTTATTCTAAATAATGGTAGTGTACAAAAACCCAAGAATGATTTACATGACACAAATGTAGAAGTCGAATGCAGAATTAGCTCTATGCAAGCTTCCAATTAATCTCGATGTAGGTATAAATTTAGTCCAACATTTCAATTTCAAATCATGCATTGATAAGTTCGATGGCAAACTGGAAACTCTACAGTTGGTTAATCGTGAAAAGAACTGCAATAATTAATAACCAATGGTTCAATAAAAGGTAGTGAAACCATTCCTATGCTTCTGGTAAGCTGAAGATTCCTGTAAGAGTAAGTCAAACGAAACAGAAGGTTACGGCTGACTCTTCTCTTGAAAATGATACTTTCACTGTTCAGAAGAAAGCAGAAGAGGAGACAGATAAAGAGAGAGAGACATCTCGCCAATGGTTCATAGCATTCCTCGTAACATTCACGACAAAACGTCCGCTACAACCTTAGAAATGTTTACCGTGGTCAATAAGCAAGAAGTCACTTACTGACCATCGCAAGTCCTGAAGAAACCACTTACTGACCATCGCAAGTCTTGAAGAAGTCACTTACTGACCATCGCAAGTCTTGAAGAAGTCACTTACTGACCACCGTAAGTGTTCCAGTCGTCTCACTTCCCACCTTTTCACGCTACCTATTACACGTTTCTGCCTATCGTAACACTCTGGCGAAATGCCAAGATATCGATATCTTATTGCAGCTCTAAACCTTATATAGTCTACAATTTCTCGACGTACGTGTGTGTTTGTGGTGTGTGTCTGCCTTGTATGTGTCTGTAGTTGTCGTATATACCATGTATGTGTGTGTATGTGGCTGTATACATGCACACATACATGGAATATACGACTCCCTATGAGTGCAGTATATGTTCATGTATGTAAATACGGTATATGACTGTGGTGTATTTGGTGTACGTGTATATATGTACATGCAAGGTATGTGTATGTGTGCAAAGAATAGGACAGTTGCGTGTTGTAGGGTCGTAGAGCACATCAAACTTTCCACTTATGTGTGTGTATGTATACGTGTGTGTACATACACGTAGTGTGGGGAGTGCACCAGTATAGGATCGCTGTGCAGACCATCTTTAGAGATACAGAAAGAAAGTGGAAAAGCAAGGATGGGTATCAGATAGTAGATGGCCAGTGTTGGGGTAGTTAAGAGGAAAGGTTGCGTCATCTGCGGTTAAATACATTTTGTGAAATCACGTGCTTATTCATTCTAATCCCATCACTTCCATTCATATCACACATTTCACGCTTCCTTCCTGATGTTAGCCATCCATTGTTATAGGATTACCACTCATTTGAAATTAAGTGAAGACATGAAGGTTGCTATCTTGTAAGTATTACTTGGGATAGTTGCAGAACGGAACGTAATATACGTTTCTTGGCTCTACTGAGTAATGTTGTGTGTATTATATGAAGAACGGATACGGATGATGGGAAAGGACAGCTGAAAGAGGGAAAGGTTAGGAGGAGGAGAAAGCGAAAATTAGAACAAGGAATGAAGAAGGATAGAGAGGAGGAATAGAGGAAAGGTTAGAAGGTGTGAGGTAACTGATTGTTTTTGTGGAAATTTTTGCTATTTGTTGTCGTACTCGCACGCTTAACTTCTGCTTGCGAAATTCTTATTACTGCTATTGTGGTTCATTTTATATGTAATTTATATGTAATTAGATTGAGCAGAATGATTTAAGGTTGACATTGTTTGGTCGAGTGATCGTTATGTGGCTTAATGTGGCAAACAGTCAGTGATTTGTACTATTCTATGGAGCAAGAAATCCTTTTTCTTTTCCGTTTCGTATTTTCTTTGTTTTTCCGCTTGCATTACTTACGTTTCCGTTTATTTTTGTGCTCAGTTTTTTAAAGTAAATTATTGGAGTAGTGTTATCTTATTATATGTTTCTTTTTGTTTCCTGATTCGTTACATGAACCATTAGAATAATTTGTATTTAGTGAATACACTAAGACAAACGTTGAAGACACTGATTTACGTTTATATATAATACGTTTGCATACAGTTAATGAGACATAAATTTACAAGCTCGTCAAGTATGTATCAAAAATGCTATGATTTTATTATGCCATGTCACAAAAAAGTGTACAATTACACTGGGGACGTTTTCGTATCATTATTATGTTCATTGCAGGAACATATGTTTAGATATGTTATTTGTGATGTGGCATGCGAAATAGAATGAACGAGAAATGATGAAAACGAAAGGTGAAATATAAGAAAGAGTGAATTGGCCTTTATTCTCAGATTATCCATTCTTTCAATTTCAGATTTAGGTTTGAAGTCTTTCTCAGCGAAACATCACCCCGAACTTTTTGTATGGCGAATAAGCCACATTTAACATTTGCTCGGATTGTATCCGGAACTGTCGATACAAACGGTACTGGCACTGGAAATGTTACGATAACGCAAGTTCCTGTCACTGCCGCTGTTGCTTTAACTACTATTACTGCTAATACTTCTACTACTGCTACTACTACTGTTGCTACCACTACTACTATCGCTTCTACTACTATTACTACTATTACTGCTACTACTACTACTGCTATTATTTCTACTACCACTGCAACGGCAAGTAGTGAGACCACAAGTGTAAGCATCACTGCAGTAGAATCAGGAAGTCACACGAGTTGTATCACACCCGGAGAATCGTGTCCTAACTTCGGCAGAAACAAAGATGGTTTACATCAACGATTTATTGAGGAACGAAAACAAGATTTAGATGGTAACGCTCATATTCAACGTCCAGTACAGTTTGGTTCACACCAACAAAATCAGTATTATCAACAAATTCAACGGCGTAGCAAACCACGTTCCAAAAATGATCGATCGCGAAAGGTTATTTGTGGGAGATGTCATTCAGTTTTACTTTTTCATATACTTCATTTTGTAGTGTATTTTGATGTGTAAATAGTTTAAAATGTAAACCAAAAACTCATTTTGCCTTCCATATACTTCCAAGGCAGCAGAATTAGTATTTATAAATGGAAAAAGCTGTAATTAGAAATTAGGCAAATCTTATTTTGCAAAATGTGTTTCGCAGTGGTATTTTTTTTTTTTTTAGGATGATAACGTATTATTGGCATGTAAGGAAGAAAGTGAAGCACATACGGAGCAACAACCTGAGGTAGTTTTAGGTCCCGCTCCACTTCCAACTGTGAATGCTTGGTTCAAACAGTCCGCAACAGGTAGAGAAAGTCGCTTGTCTTTTTTTTGGTATTGTTTGATGTTATAAACTATGGATTTCTAAGCTATAATTTTTTGCGTATTGCTGATACTATTAACATATCAATTAAATAATTCGTTATCAACTTTGAAACATGATCAAATTACATCAGATTCGGTTGTGTAGCATCGCATATGGCATTGTGTAACCATTTATTATTTGTCATCTTTTATTTGGAAGTAAGGAATAACTGCAGTATGTGAACTAGTAATTATTCTTTTTGTAGAGTTTTCTGATTGCATGTTGTACATTCGTAAAAATTATGGCTACAAGGAAAGATTCAAAAATTTACGCGTTTTAGAAACAAAAGAATTAAAGGAAGAAAGTAGCGTCTTGAATTCTCAGACATCCTCAACAAAAGAAGAAGCCAACTCACAGGAAATATCATTACCTTTGAAAACAATGGAGTCTGATACTGATAGTGTTATTAAGGTTTGTTTTAATAGAAAGTCATCAAATTTAATTCACTGTGAGGTAAGAGATGTTTCGTCATCAACAGCTTTGCAGTTTGACTTGTGTAATGCTCATCAGAAAATAATATTTCCGGCACATTTTCTTGAATTCAGTCTTGAAAGATATAGAGCATGTTCCTGGTTAAAAGGAATATTCTTCACTGTCGAGGATGCACTGTAATATATTCAGCTTTTTGATCACTGCTTCAGTATCTTGTCACTTTTAATACTCATTTAGTTCAGTCCGATACGTTTAAAATTACATAACTTTGAGAAATGTCAATTTTTGTGATAAGCGATTGTTGCCTTTCCTGATAATGAATATAAATAAATTGAATAAGAGAAATTTGTCCGTAGTTTTTACAGTTATTCGATCAAAACATATTTCAGTTCAGTAATCGTGCACTTCTTCTGACTTAACAATTGCAAGATTGACTACCTCCATGCATGGCCACTATCCTTACATCTTTGATTTTTTTTTTTGGTACTAATCAAATTCATTTTTTAAAATATTATCATTTTGTTTCATTCAGTTAACTGCGCAAGAAACGCTAACATGCACAAGTGGAAATGATTCAAAGAAGATGGTAAAGCCTTCTTATTCAGGTCAAATAAAACAGGGAGAGCAGCACGAAGCCGAAGTACGTCCGTTACATATCTGATATGATGTTCTGGAATTCTGCATTCTAAGTGTTAGAGGCTGTTCTCGCAGTGTGATTTCCCAATAATATAAATCGTTATATCTTGGCGTTTATCTGTTCCAATCTTTTCTTTCCTCCTTCCCATGTCATTCGTACAGTTATCGGTTATTAATAATTAGATTGAAACCTAACTACAGCATTTTTATAATATTTAGCAAGGTTGGTTTGTCTATAGTTGGCATGCGTTTAAAAAATGCATGACTGAATAAGCTTTCTAGCATTTAATCAGTCATCACATAATGTTACTAGCACTTTTTATTTTTCATTTTTTAGATATTTCAATTTTTAACATACCGTATTGAAACTAGCTACCATCTTCACTTTATAACTGATTAATATATCAGTTTTTTTTTTTTTTTTTTTCAATATTTTTGAATTAAGGAAAGCGCTTCCTGCAGATACAGTTTCTTGATTGGAACGTTATTTTCATGTTAGCATCATTTGAGTTTTTAGGCATATCTTGTTTGATATGCTGAGCATCATATGTTGTTTCTAGGAATAATTTCCTTATAAATCTTGCGCTTAGGTCATTTCGTAAATATCGCTGAATTGAGACATGCGTAAAGTTAGCAGACTTGGGTTTCCCAATTTTTTAGATTACACTTTTTCTCCATATTGCTTGTGTTAATAGTTTTTCAATAAAATATGTTTTTAAGGGAACTAATGTGGATGATAAAGCGTGGCCGTCATTGAATGAAGCGGTCAGTGAAGAATCAAAACCGGACAGCGCGATAAATAATGCGAATACGAAGGGAGGTGCTGTTGTTAGTCATGAAGTGGTGAAAGTCGCTGACAATTTAGAGGCAGCATCTTATGCGGTATTTTTGTTTTCTGTTCTGAATGAAGCACTAATTTTGGCACATATTTTTGAGTCCTCTTTATCATTTTAATGATTACCCCTTAAAATAGGCCTTTATTATGTGGTATTGGGTTTGAAACCGTTTTACATGCAAAAATATTTCAGATGTAATACGGTTATCGAATTATTCTAGAAATCACTTCTGTTATTTTTCAACTAGTGCACATTTATTGTTTGTAATCTTCTAGGATTTTTAATTTGACATTGAAATTTATGTATGGCTGGGAATGCTTCAGGATGTGAAACAAGACAGGGATAAAGAAAATGAAAGTAATGGGAAAAGTAACAGAAGTGGCAAAGCATGGAAGAAATTGGACCTTGATGTGGATTATGCAGGACGCGAAGGACAAGGAAGGCGCGGTAACACTAGTTCGGGTAGCAAGAATGATCATCCACAAAAAAACAGGTTTTTAGACAATCTTCTTTGCAATTTGGTTTAAGCAAAAAAGACACCGAAGAACTTTCATTCATCAGTAGCAGTTTAATTGCCAGCAATTTTTTTTCTTTTTTTTTCTTGTGAAATTTTGATCCTTAGGTTTTCATGAACTCCGTTTTCTTCTTTTTTGGAAAGACAACTTTTCTGTTTCTTGTGGTAAAAGTGCATAACAAGTTCCCCATGCGTGGAAGCGATATGCACAAATTGCATAAACGGACAATTTTGTTGTACTGAATTACTGATAGCTTTTTTTAAATCGACGCTTATTTTCTGAGGTTTTATCAATTTCAACATTTTCATTCTTATTCTTTGCATTTTTAATTTCTTTCCAGTGGTTAGACACGGAAGTGGACTTTCTGCAGTACATGCAGTACATGTGCATTTTCCGAAATTTCTGAAGTGCATAGGTTTTTGCTAAATTGTTGTAACTATAAACTTTATATTTGTCGATCTATTCCACATAGTGGTTGCTTTCAGTATTCTTCAAAATTCCTTAGTCAGTCTAATTAATGCCTTTGTGTGTTATTGATCTCTCCATGTAACAGTTCGGTTGTGTCATTCAGCCGACTTATCGTACTTCACTTTCGGTTTTTTTTTATAGACAACGTAGATACGTGTAGTTCTGTCCCATTCGATTTCATGTCTGATAGATATGCAGCGTAACTGGAGAGGAAGGGGTTATCTATGTATTTCGGGTGGTCAGCACGAAATTTCAACAAGTGTGCAACATGAAGCAGTTCTACTAAAAGTATAATAAAGTACTCTAGCAGGAGAGGTGCGAACTTCACGAAACAGCAGACAGTAAAAGAATACATCAGTCCATCTTATGGGATCGTCACCGATCCTGCTTCAACAGCCGAAAATGCCCCAAAGATGGCACCAGCACTAGCGCCTGCATCTTTGCTGGGTTGTGCACAACCGTTATCATGCATTGCACCGGCACTTATATACAGTCCTGAATGTGCTACCGTCAGTGAGGAATACGCTGAGGAAGACTATTGGTAAGATGTTGCGTTGTGTATCGCCTGCTGGTATTGTTCCAACCCATTCGCTTTCCTTACAGTAACCGCGTTCGTCTTTAAATTCTAACCTAATTTTATGTTTTCAAGATATGTAGTGATAATCGAGCTGTGTGGTTAGATTTAGTTTGAAAAGAAAGTTAGATGAGGATTGGCAACGAACGGACTTATTGCTTAAGTTCCAGTGCGCTCTTTCAATGGCAACAACAACGACCTTGGGAGGATCGGAACTAAAAAATATTGGCAGTGTGTACTATACCCATAATTCTCTTTTTTATCCATTGCACACATGTCTGTTTCTTTTTCCTCTTTGCATCTGTCGCCTACTTAAGTGTCAGAGCAGGAAATTGTTGTGTCGTTACACTGCTTACTTCAAACTCTTCCCATTCCTTTCTCTGATAAATGCTAAATTATACTAGTATTTGGTATGGCGTATGGCATTTCATTTCAACTATTGTCGATAAGAGGTTGCTTTTTACCACCCTTCCTTGCTTGAAGTACATTAGCTTCATCAAACATTTCCAGACTACGGAGAGCAAGCTGAAACATTAAAAGTATTTATTTAGCCTAACTTATGCAAAATTATATGCTATGAAATAGACGGATAAGTACGTACGAGAACACAAGTAATTGTATCGTTTTTGACCATTTGGCAAGATTCGCTTGTTTTTTACATTTGTTGTTTGTATATTTGCTCATTTACTTGATGAATGCTTGTTAGATTATACCTACGTCAGGTGTAATGTTAATATTGAGCAGAGCCAATCTCTCCGTCTGCTGTGGAACAAAACGACAACTATTATTCACTGACATACTTTGAATCTTATTTTACTGATTTACTCCTGCTCACTTACCAATTTGCTTTACGAGCACATTATTTCGAACGCTGCACGGTTTGTGTAAGTAGTCTATAATTTACTTCTCCAATTAGAACAGTTTTGTGATTTTATCGGAATTGAAATTTTCCATGTGCATCACTTTTTGAAATATATTGCTACATCGGGGTGTGTGTGTGTGTGCTCTAATTACATTATCTCTATCTAGACTGCATTTCAAAAAAAAAAAAAACTGATCATTTACTTATAATTTTATCAGTTCAAAGTTGCATAATTAATTATCAAGTATGACCTTTTTCAAATGAACTTTAATATAAGTTCGCAGAATGTTGCTTTTCTTAATATGTAGGATTAATAGTGCTTGAAATCAGAATCATTGAAAGTGCGAGAGGCTTTTGCGTTATCGAGTTTTTATTTTATGGATTTCACTAGTAATTTCAATAAGTGTTAGGAATTTATGGATGTGATTTATAGGAAAAGTAAAAACTTGAAAATATCTCAACGACTGATGGAGTCATTGTTAGGAACTTTAAGGAAAATTTATGTTATAAAATGATGGTGAAATGCTACACGGAAGTTTTTTGTAAATATAATAGAAAGAAAAATATATTCTTAATGATTTGATTACTACTTATTTGTGACTTATTTTTGTAAATTTTTATGCATTATATGCGAGCATGAGTTATGCAATGATGCATGCATGTTGTGTTTATATGAATGTGCGCATGCATCTTTACAATGCGTGCGCACTCTATGCATGTACTGGAATATGTGTTTATGAAGTGTGCAGAGCTGGAAGCTTCTTTCCTATTTCCAGTCTCTTTCAATTTAGTCCTTTACGATTAGAGGCCTCTGTTATTCAATACTCGACTCAGACAACACACCATGTATTGATGGCTAGGTCTGAACGTCCAGCAGTTCTGAAGAGATACTTCTCGAAACACCTTTTTTGAAGTTATCATTGTTCAGTGTGCAAATGTATGTAAATCAAAGGCGAGAGTGGTTGTCGATGATGCAGACAGTGGAGCAGTATTGTACTGATGGAGTGGCTCAAACATGTCAGATGTTTGTATTGCTCGAGAAATCGATTTGAGAAAATAGAATCGAAGTTTGGGGGCAGGGGGTGGGAAGGGGGAGAGTGGGTAACAGAATGGCGGAGGGAGGGTCTCGACGGCCAGCCGACCGTCGTATTACCATAGTCAACATGTCGTTGCCGTCGTCATACACGCACATATTGTCACCGTCTCGCCTTCCCATCCTGTCCTTTGATCACAATCTCCTAGAAACCCATCATCATATCAGTGCTAGCTGGCAATGCAGAGAGGAAAGGCGGTGTTGCGTCCGTCTAACTATCTCGTTATATTTCCTTTCTGACGTTATATTTCCTTTCTGACAAACATATAGCAGATAGACAGAGGGACAAATGATCGTCTGTGAACGACGCAAGAACCGATCGTCGTCTGTCTGACATGGCGAAATAATACTTCGGACACAGCGAAATATCATCGGTTTTTTTTGTTATGTCCTCCTCCAAGCACATTTAACCCAGAATGTTCTCCATCGCATCGCGCTCTTCTCGTTTGCTGTAAGCTTTCTCCGGATGGATATCTTCCTGCTTTAAAAGGGAACTGCGCAATTGTGCTGTGCGATGGAAGAGACGTTTGAACTAGTTTTCTCCTTCTAATCTATCAGTCACTTTTATATATCGAACTATTCATTCATCCTCGTCATTTCTTTTCGTAGTTACAACAAAATTGACTTACTTCTCTCTATTACACCATTCTATCATCACTTTCTCTCTGCTTATCCTCCTTCCCTTACCTTTTCTTCCTCTGCTGCCATTTTCATTGCTTTCTCCCATGTTGCTTCTATCTGTTTTTTTTTTTTTTTTATAACACATTTATCGAACATCTCTACTGCATCCATTTTATTGCCGTTTCAAATTCAGTTAAAGTTTTGTGGGAGGTAATTTTGCGGTCTCTTTTCCCTGTGCCTTTTTTTGTTGTTCTCAACAGCTTCTGTCCTGAAGTGTGTTTGTTTGGTTGGCTGTTTGCTAACATTATAGTTTAATGGTCATCCGTTCTAGACGAGTACTTATTTTAACCTCCATCTCTTAAAAAAGCAAGCATTTGTGAACGAAAAGTAACGAAATTCATCATATCTAACATTACAATTATTAGCATTTTAATATAATTTAGAAGGGACGATGAACTCTCATTGTTTTCCCTTTGCTGTGCTTCATAACACAGCTGCAAGCTCTATGCTGCATTGCTGCAAGGAATGATAACTATTGGGCAGTGGATGTAGCTTTAACATTACTCATTTGTTATGATAATTTTCTAGTGTTTCTTATTGTTGATTATGCCACATTAAGAGATATAGATTCTTCCGTGTCCATGTCATCAGTTACAGTCATCAGCTACCGTGAAATGATAACCTAACATTGCACTGTTCGTATAACATCCACTGTCACCAAAGGTTTTTGTTCTGTGCACTTGATACAGGTTGAAAGTTGGGTTCTGTGTACATTTTAATTATGTATTTTTTGACAAACTATTAGTAACTTCAATCTTTTCCTTCTATTTCTTTGTGTGATATGCACCCCTTGTTAGTTGATAGTGATGGGTAAATAACATATCAATCCTCTTTGGTCCATCCGTTTACCATGTGGTCCTCGGATTAATTAGCATTTTTTCTTCCAGGTATTTGGATACAGCTTCAAACGGATTTTATTATCAGTTAGAAGGAAACCAAGGGTGGAAGAAAAAGGTGAATTCTGATGGTGATTTTGCCGGTACACACCATCACTATCACAATATACCGTCTATACAGGGGCAAAAGCCTATGGTTACGGCAGTGCCTCTAATCCCACATCTTTCTTACCAGCCGAAAGCCCGCAATCAGAAAGCAATGAATACAAATCCACCGCAAAGGTTTCTGCTGCTTTTCTTTTCATTTTCTTCGCTTATACTAGATGACTAACTAATTTTTGCGCACAGTGCAGACTTTAAATCTTTTGGAAAAAAGGTATAAGTTCTTGCTTCTTAATCTTAATGCTTTGAGCTACTTGAATCAAAACGCTAAATGTAAGCTTTGGGATTAGTTCCGTTCTATAATCAAATTTGCATTAGTAGAGAAAAGTGATGAAGGGAGTGGGTGGACAGGAAGCATAAATGTGCAGCCGATTATAAATTGTAATTCTGTGAGTTCATGTTTACCGCTGTTTACCATTATGGCTTGAGATTACCATAACACATAAAGATTTGCAGATTCTCTTATTAACAAAAGCATCATTTCTTTTTGCTTGTAATTAACACTTCAACAGATATGGTTTAATGTTTCATTGTGAATGATTCATTGACAGTCTTAACTATAATGCAACATTTTATGAGATTTTGAAGCTGATAATATAAGTTCCATGAGAGCGGAGAAGGTTTTCTGGACTGAAAATTAAATGAAATGTTAAAAGAATGCCAACAGGCTTTAATGCACTGCTACTAAGCATTGATAATCTCTTTCAACAGCTATGTGCAAAATTTCGTTATGCGACTAATATTCTATCTCTACATAATTGTTAACATTTGACGACCGAATGATAAGTAGTGAATATGCATCGGAAAGAACTGCAGTGATAAATTTGAAATTTACAGTTGTTTGACAGATCACCATCTTCATTCGTCATGAGTATTATCTTCTTTGCTAAATATTGCATGGAAGTTGATTGTGAAATGCATGAAAATTTTATTTCAGTTTTCGCGCGTTTTATTAAGTATGTAAACAACTGGCGTAAAATTGTTGACTACACTGTCATATTGTCGTATAATTGTACGACAAGTGAATGTAATAATTACTGTAAATGAGAGGATGGATTACGCTCCGTAAACATATGGTTATGAGTGACTGTTATTGGTGCACCATTCCTGTTCCAGAATGATTCAGTTTGCACTGTTCATAACATTCTGTAGCAACAATGTAAAGTGTAAAAGGGAATGGTGAAAGCAAGGGTCTTAGTTGATAGAAAGTGATTTCTTTTTTGATTAGACTGGTAGACTTTTAATAAAAAGCATCACGGTAATGAAATTATGTAGTAAAACGAATTTCATTCTATTGTAAAAGTGTTGACTTGTTGTTCAGCACTATTCGACTTAATATCTTTTTTTGTATCTGTTAATGTTTCATTTTCAGTGGGTTAAGAAAGTTTTATAATATGTGGTTGTCGTTGGCAACTATTACTAGGGTAAATATTCTGTATTATCAGTAGGCTGTATGGCAGACATAATTTCATTTAAAAAGCATTGATTGCATATAGAATATTTCATCTGAAAAGGTTGGAGGAATTTTTATGCATTCACGTCTGCCCCTCTATTTTCTATCTTTAAAAAAAGAGAATAGTAGGTCCTGCAATTAGACTAGTGACATCACTTTTTTAGAGGAACTGGAAGGTGGTAAAAGGAGGAAAAGAAATATGTTAATAGTCACATTAAAGTTCGTTTGAGAGGAAGAGAAAAAACTCTAGGAAAATGGTTGGAATAATAAAGTTCTTATTTCGATAATCATCATACATCATTTCCTTTCTGAGTATGGTATTTTTTCAGTCAAAATAATTTTGTATTTCACCATCGTTTTCTCGTCTAATTTCTGTTACGTAGTTGTGTTTAGAGAATTGACTGTACAATGTATATGTATCCTTCATTTCACTGTATTTGCGTTTTAATTTCTCATTTTTTGAGACACTTAGTTCTTGTGCTTCTTTTATTTAGCTTTAGGCTTACTTTGGTATTTTGTTGGTTAACAGGTTGCATTAGATAGATCGAAAGTATCTTGGACTTTATTTGAATATTCAAATTAGTGATGAAGAATGGAGTAAGAAAAGAATGGGAATCTGGATTTGATCTATCACTGCACTACTTTTTTGTAAAGTTCTAAAGTAATCCTGTACTTTTATTTTTTGATAAGCCATTTTCTTTCATTTCATTGTCTAACTGTGCCGTCGACGGTTCCTTTGTTTGGGATCACTATTAAAACATTCAATGAAGTCTAGAAATAAGAAGTTGAAGTCATCGTTTTACTTTGCTTTCTTTTTTAATAAATGTACCGGAGTAATATCTGGATGATTATAACCTATTTTTGTAGGTACAACAAACGTGACGAGACAGCAGCAATGGCAGCTGCAGCACCAAATGGTATTACCCAACAGCAGTGGGCTACTACATCGGCTGCAGCAGCAGCACTTCAAAATGGTGGGAATCGTCATCGTCCATATTTCGGGCAACCTCAATTTGTTCGTGCACCGATAATTGGAAATCGTATAAGTGGAGTAGATTATTGGCATAAAAATGGTGGCTCAGCAGCTGATGCTGTGCGTCGTCAGCAGCAACAGCAGCCACTTCATTATGAACGCGGAGGCGCTGGTAGTAATGTTGGGATAGATGACATTTCGGATCGTAACAAAGCATTTTTTTTACGTAACGATAAATGGCAACCACGTGGGTCACATCCACAGGCACCACCCAAATTAACTTCTGCACAAAGACGAGCACGTGGGCCATTACCAGACTGGGACGAATGTGCAGGAGACGATGATAATTTTGATTATATGGATCTGATGGAATCTCAATATGCGCAGTTTTATGCTGTGTCAACGATACCTCCATTTGATCCCAGTTCGACATGCTTGGATCCCGCATTGGCAGCAGCATTTCCGACTGCGAATATTATGTTTCAAGCGCACCAACAAATGGCTGCCCTAACGTTTCGTCATTCACATATTTCCCCGTTTAACCCCCATCTGCTTTCCCAACCTCCACCTACTGTTGCAGCTACAGCTGCAACCGTAGGTGAGTCACGTTCGGACAGTGTAGCATCGTCGCTTACATCCAACACTGTCCCGCCAACACCAACCGCTTTACTTTCACCAGGCAGTGGTGTTCTCACAACCAAAGGTGAGTTCATCCCTGGACCGGCGGTAGGCCCTATGAGTGTCCCTTACCATGCCGCTTATCCACCTGTATCACCCCAAGCACCAATCACCAGTGAAACTTTGAAAGAATATGTTAGAAAACAAATGTAAGTTTATTAATGTATTATTTCTCTTCCTTGTAAAAGACAAAGTGATGGTTTCATGTTTTTCTTTCTGCGGATTTGACAATAAATTTTTGCTATTCACATTTCCGCTAAACTCCCTTAACATTTTCTTATGATGATGAAAGGAGCTGCAGATTTTGTGTTTATCTGATCTCATTGTACATTCCACTTTATAGCGGAGAATTGTTATTTCAGAGAGTATTACTTATCTCCGGAGAACCTTCAGAAAGATTTCTATTTACGTCGGAAGATGGATAAAAATGGTTTTTTATCGTTAGCGTTGATAGCTAGTTTTCCTCGTGTTCGTACACTTACCGATAATATTGCATTAATTACGGAAGCTTTACGAAGTAGTGAAAAAGTGGAACTTAGTGACGACAATGAAAATGTAAGCGCTTGATTGCTCTATAAGTTCAAAAAACGGATTAGTGTCTTTGAACTCAATAGTTTGTCGAGAAATTTTGTGGATAATTGAGTGACTGTATGCTTTTTTTTTATCATCTTATTTGGCACAGTCAGTATTACACGCTGAAATCTTCTTTCTTCATAGACATCGCTTCCTTTTCTGAGTAGGGAAATTCATAAGCTATTAAGTCAACGTTTCAAATCTCTTTCGCATTCTTTTTATTTAGGTTCGACCGCATGATAATCCACAACAATGGCCGCTTTCGCCGGCTCTATTGCAAACCACGGAGTCAAGCAACAGTGCTGCTCGTCCGGAAGCTGAAACGACCATAAAGATGACAAATATTGCATCTTCGGTGGTTTCTCAGGTGATGACGACAGAGCCACTGGCACCTGAAGCTACGGATTCTAATGTTTTAGTGCAAGCTGAGTTGCAGCCGTCTGTTTCTTTGGAATCACTTGAAGCTGAGAAGCGAAATTGTGAAGGACGCAACAATAATGACACTACTAAAGAAGTGACTACTGGCAATTATTCTGCACTAATTGCAGATGAGACGGTTTCAAATTTAGCAAAAGGCAGTAAGCGTGATAAAACGGAAGATGTCTCATGTAGACTATCGTCACATGCATATGGAAAAAACGGTAGTGGGAAGAGCAATAATGAGATGATGGAGCGGAACAGGGAACTAACGAAAGAATCTGAAGTAGAAGATTGGCAAGAGGTTTGTTATTTGTGCATAAATCTTTTGTGCGGTTAGTTATGATTATAATAATTGGTTATGTTTGCACATTAAAATTGTAGGTCAAAAGTCGGAAGCAAAGGAAAAGTAAGGCTTCTGGTAATGCTGTTGGCAAAGGAGCATCACATTCAGTTTCATCGCCACCTGCACGATTTGTTCCAGAAACGGACATGCAAAATGATGACGATTTTTTTGCAGTACCAGATCTGCCACATCGCGAAAGGAGAACAGTTAATAGGATGTAAGTTTTGCAGAATTTGTTTTCCTCTTATTTCCTGTGTACGCTAATTAATTTTAACTGGGTATATATATGATGTGCGTTTTAACTCGGCGAAAAACGTCAATCCATGATTTCTTCACAGAAAAAAGCCACTTCTTTAGTGCAGTATCGGATGATTCATCAGAGGATATAAGCGATGCAAATATCAAAAAATTAATTATTGTAACACCAGCATCGAATAAAAGACAGTTTGATCGTACTGGTGATCCAGCATCTCCCAAAGTGAATCAAAATTTGACGGAAGAAATGGAATATGGTCTTAGGCGATACGAAAATGAGTTATGGAATCGTAAAGAAACAACTCGTAAGGTAATTAACTTTTTATTACTTTGAATTTTTTTTTTTCTTTGTAATTTGGAAGAGTATGTATTTTTACACACCGATCCAGCGGTATTTTCAGACTCATATTAATAAGGTTGACACAGTTCCTGAAGAAGGATTCAAGCAACTGAAAGGGGAGAATAGCACCCTTCAAAAATGTGCGCCAGAACCACTGCAGAAAGCGCTTCCAACTTCAAATACTGTCCCGGAAATTTCTTCAGTTTGGGCACAAAAGGCTCGTGAAAGAGCTGCGGCAAACGCTGCATCATCGGTGAATTTGATATTTGTTTTGTGTTTTATCTGTTTTGTACTCGATTGAAATTCCTTTCACGGAGAGATTAGATCAGAATGGTCGTCCTGTAGTCAGTGAGTCCAGCATTCAACTAGAGACGTACGTTCCAGTTCCCTGTGCTTGCACTTATTTCGATACGTTGAAACGCGCAGACGAATTTATTTTTTTGTATTTGTTATTCATGCTTCCATACATAAGTGTACTAAGATGTTTCAGACAAAAAGTCCATTGGCAAAACGAGAAACAGAATGTGGTCTGTTAACGCCACGTTTTTATCCGGTGAAGGAGAGTGCCGTTCCAGATTCTTCTCAGTCAAGAAAATATAAAACTCGTCATAGCGAAAATCCACCTGTTGAAATGCCCGTTGGTTGGGTTTTTGGCACTCGTTCGAGGACATCTTCTGTTAATGCGTAAGTCTACTGAATATCATTTGTGCTTGTAAGTACTAGTGGTATTTGCATATTTACCTGCAAGATTTTTGGTATAAATAGTTTCAGCGACTCGGTTGAATCAACAAGTAACCAAGCTGCACCTGGCCCTTCAATGCACGTCTCCTTTAGTTTGTTGCAAGAGAATGGTTTCCAGGAACAGGTTGGTGTTTTCTTTTTGAGAACTCTTCTTCTACATGTATTATCCGTAGTTTTAAGAATTAAACTGAACACCAGCTGCTGTAAGAACACCTTAATTATCTGACCGTCTCATAGGGGAATGGTAGTGGTCAGAAAGTGTTCACTAATTCTCTGAAAGATATTTATGCAACAAAAGTGTAACATCGAGTGTTAGCGTTGATGTTTAACCTGAACCAGCAGAGAGTTTAACTGACGATTCGATGAAGAGGTCGATATCCTAAGCCGCCTACTTCAGGAGATTGATGGTGCATAGTCGCGTCATACTAACGCAGTTGTTGTGCAGGAGATGCACTGCAGTAAATAATCGAGCAGTTTTGGTAAATCGATTAATTAGCCAAATTCATTTGAATTATATCCATTTACTCAAGCATGGTTATGAAACAGCGTAATTGTAAATGCAGATATACACGAAATGGAGAATATCATGCCTACAGCAGAGAGAACATTTGGGTTATGGCACAACTGAGATGAATACTTATTTCCGTTTCTTATCTTTCTTCTTGCGAGACCATTTCAACCGGAAAATGTATCAAGAATTTAGACATTTAGCCCTTGAAGATGCGCAAGCGGGTTACAGGTTCATTTTTCTGTTGCAGCAATTTATTAAGGGATTTTTTTTAATTTTTATTTTAGGAATATGGAACTAGTGATTTCTTACAGATGACGATGTTATTCTTTTTGCAGGTACGGGCTAGAATGCCTCTTTAGATTCTACAATTTTGGTCTGGAGCGTAAATTCAGGCCAAACGTGTACTTAGATTTCCAAGAGGAAACAATGAACGATGTTAAACGAGGCGAACTATACGGGTTGGAAAAGTTTTGGGCTTTTCTAAAGTTTTACAAGCACTCGAGGCGCTTAGAAGTTCATCCATTCCTCAAAAAGAAGCTAGCAGAATACAAGAATTTGGATGATTTCAAATTTGATGTCAGTATTTCTTGATACCTCCTATTTTTTTTCGATTTTCCAATTATTTTAGATTAAGTTTATAGCTTAAATTGATTTAAACTGTTTTGTTATTTAGAAATATTATTTGGTGATTAAATGCATCAAACATGCAATGTTACCAATTCTTATATCGTTATCGTCAGAGAATTCGTTTGTAAACTTGTTTCAGCCGGCTACAGCAGCCAAGAAAGAACTATCAGTGGACAGTATAAGTGCAGCTATTTCTTCCAGGCGATGAATAATTCTTTCGTTTTGTTTGCAACATTCATTGTTATTTGCCATGAATTATGGCATTGTTATTATAGTGCTTCATGTTCTAGTAGTATTCCTTAGCAAGTGTTTAGGAAAAATATATCCTACCAGTTTACTTGATAGTCATCCAAAGAAGGAGAATATGTATTGCAACTAGTTGTGAGAGTTACTTTTATTCTATTAATCGGAGGAGAATTTCGGCACTTCTTATCGTTTCATTCTATTCTATTCTGTTTTTTTTTTTTTTTCATCCTTTTTGATGTTTCTTGCATTTATTCATTTTTAAGGTTTGAGCTGTTTTTTTTTTTTTTTTTTTTTTTTTTAATACTATTTCCGCAGTTTGAACGTGTATCTATATATTAGTACTGTATTAGTTATAACAGAAATGCACAAAAAAAGCTTATTCGCCTTATCAGTTACATTTTTCTCCTTTATTCTAAACCGTTTTCTTTTATTTTTTATTAGTAGTAGCTTTCACAATGTTTTCGGGAACCTTCTTGTTCATAACAAAAGGCTTCCAACCGGATTATTGGTTTTCTTTATTTTTTTTTTTTTATTGGGTATTCGGATTTGGATGTTGGCGTGAGGGAAATTTGATGTAATGGAATCATCTGGAGAGGCTTTTGTGTTATACTATTTGTTTATCGTGGTCACGATGATTAAACTATATATGTATATATATATAGTTGCTGCCCACGTATTTGTTAGATAATATTCCAAGTTGTGCTTTTCTTTCTTCTATTTTTTTTCTCACGTTTTGCAACCGTTTTCGCAAGACATTTGCAGGTAACGGAAACAGAATCTTAATGACGTTTTAAGCAAATATTGGCAAGGTTTTTATTGATTTGCCTTGGGGTATTGCAAGCGTAACAGGTTCTAATAAACTATATGGAGTTTCAGTTAGTTTGAATTCAAAATGAAATTTCAAGCAGTGAAAGTACAGGGTACACAAGTTTTGGGTTACCTGCATTTGTTCTAGTGAGGTATACGTGGTGAACGCGTGCAAGAATTTGGTCGTAAATGGTACGCAAGCGAAATGCTCATTCTCAGGCACATTTGGAAGCTGTGAGATCATAGTATTACCGATATGTTTTACGTTTAATGCTTTTTGTGCATGTATATATGCATGCAGTTTATTGTGCAGTGAAAGTTATTTTGTTTTCTAATGCTCTTGTTCTTTCTTTATTTAACAGATAAGCGCGTTTTGCAGTATGTATAGGGGAATGGAATTCGGCACGCCTTATTTCAATTTTTTGACGTTTGACGTAACAAATTTTTTAAGTTTGATTTTTATTTATTTGAATACAAAAAGAGAGGGGATATAAGCTAAGTATTAGATGCTACGAAAATATTTTGTAATAGCATCGACTGGGTTTGTGTAACGATTCATGCAACGATCAGTGTGAGGATTTTAATTACCGTCATTGTCAGTTCTGTTGTCTGGATGATGGTGCAATTAAAGAGTTTTTGGTAATGCTAGCGTGCGTGATGGCGAACTTTTTTGATACGATTTTGAGAGATGTATTGTTGGTTAGCTGGGAGAACAGGTTATGGCGTAATGTATTGTTTATGGTACACTCTATCTTGAGGCAATTAATTTAGGGTTGCTCTTTAGATGTGTTCTGGAATTCGTGGGATTTGCAGGATGTACTTGCATGACTATCAGGTTTGTGTAAGGTTAACATTACTTATGCTTATCTACGGTGAGTTCCATAACGTACATTTTGCAGATTTCGATATAACTATTTACTGCACTTATAGGGCAATTGAATTTAATCGGTTGATTTCTTTTTATTTTAACTTCAGTAATTCGATTTTCATTTTTAAAATATCTTCCTGACTATTGCTCATTTATGCGCATCATTATTTATACATATACACAGTTCATTCGTCTACGCTTGCTTGCTGTTCATTTATTTTAATTCTTTATTTGTACTCACTTTTTTTTTTTTTTTTAAATCCTTCAAATTCGAATCTAAGATTGCCTCTATCCATATTTTTGGTCCTTTTCATTACTGTTTGTAATGGTTTCTCTTAACTTTATGATTTGTTTCTTATTGCTTTATGGTTTTCCCGGAAACGATTATTGTCATGCTTCTTCTGGTCGCGTTTTGCTTCATTTGCAATCGTTTTAAAAAATGTTATTAATATACTTTTGCGCAAACCGTTTTTTCCTACTAAAGTCAGAAAATTTGATGTATTTTTTGACTTTTTAATCAAATGAATTTTTTTTTTTTAATATTTCTTTACCATCGTTATAACTTACATAACTGTTCGTTTTTGTTTTACCGGTCAAGTCTGGAATCAGTCATTAATTCATCGTCTCCAAATTACTCCTATCTAATGCCCATCCTTCCACTGTTCCGGTGCTAGGAATAATGGCATTTGGCTTTTCGTTCCTGAGTGATCATATATGGTAGGTAGTAGGAGTAACAGCGATGATTTTATTCTCTTTATCATATAATTCGTTGGCAGTGAATGATTTACAAACAGTAATTATCAGTACAATTATTTAGTATTTAGTGTTTGAGTAAATTCAGGAATGAAACATTCAGAAATTCGTTTTGCTGGACTGATTGCTTCTCATTCATTCTTATCATTTCAAACACAAGTAAATATAGTGGCTGATTGGTTGTTTACTGTACTCTTCATCGTTCGTTTTTTTTTTTTTTTTTTTTTTTTTGTTTTATTGCGAAATAAAATTTTTTTACGATTGTAATACTTTTTCATTTATAAAGCTATGGGAAATGCTTCCTAATGTGTACAACAATGATATTCTTCTTCGAAAAATCGAAAGATTCAAAAACATCGACAAAGACTACTTTATATATTATTGTTCTGACCCGTGAATTTCAGTGTTCCACGTTAGAGTAAATCGGTTCTGATGTTTGGTGCTCATTCATTCGAAGTTTCAGAAGGCTTGAAATGAGATGTACTGTTGTGATTGTTTTAAGGACATTTATGAGAGAGAGAGAGAGAGGGTCTTAACGAGGTTTAATCGTGAGCTTATTTGACGTGAAAATGTTTGGACAGAAATTCTATTACAATATTCGAGATTCTGTGGCAATATTTAGGACCAGAATTTAAATACTGATGATCCGAGTTCTCACAGGTTAAATTATGGTACTGTGAAAGTGGATTGATTGAATTGACCATTGGGGATGAACTAGATTAATACAATTTTTAGGACAAGTAGGGCTATTGTAAGTCGAGAAGCCGAATTTCCACATGACAGGAAAATAACGGGTTTTGTATGACAACGATCCATATCTTATTTAAATCTTCCACTTTTTTTTTTTCGTTGTCAACTAATATTTTCATTTCTTTCAGAAAATTCTTCATAGAACAGTAAAGATAACTCCAAACAAAAGAGAATAATGATTGAAGCAATGAGTGAATAATTTAGGGTCAGACTCAAAGATACTTGTTTTATAAATAAAACTTGTAAATGTACGATTTAGGTTGCTAGATTTGATATGGCCACTTCATTAACTACCGAACAACTGAAACGGATTGAACGGAATCGAGCAGAAGCTTTGCGACGAATGGCTTTACGACAGGAACGTGAAGGGAAGCCGGAAAACATGAAACATATAAATACAGTGAGTAGTTGTTCCACCACTGGTGCTACTTCAGACACATCCGTAAAAGCACAGATGATGTTACGACCAGGACTATGGTCTTTAAATTCATCCAGGAAGGTATCTGTCACAGTTCGGGATGAAAGTAAACCTGTACAACTATCTGTAACAAATGAACATGATGGATCGAAGCTACCTGCAGCAGTTGCATCCGACCACTCAGTACAACCTATGACACATCGTACTGAGCAACAACAACCATCAACGTCTGCGTCATTTGTTCCATTGAAGGCTAAACTGGATCGTAAAGCATTACCTGTATTGTCACCTATTAAACGACCTCCCGTTGTTACAACCGTTCATCTTAAGCGAACTACTGTCAACGTTATTTTTAAGCTTATTGACACTAAATATTTTCAGGTTAGTTACATTTATGATTGACAGCGTTTATGATTGATTCTCTTTCTTCTGCATAGATTATATTGACAGTAGGCAGTATAATATCTGCCGTATGAAATAATTAGATAAAACTCTTGTTTTTATTTTTTTTTTTAAAAAAAATCTTTTTAAGGAGAAAAAACTCATAAAATGCTTATTTCTACTTTTTTTTTAAAAAAAAAAAAAGCCGGGAATTACACATTTAACACGTAAAGTACATAAAATGAAAAAAAAAAGTAAATTTAAAAGACAAAAGGAAAATAAAATTACACTGTGTTTTTTGAACCACCCATCATTGATTAACTATCCTTTTTGTGTATTTCTTGTATTATTGAAAACTTTTTTTTTTTTTTTTTTTGTTTTAGGTGCAATTCACTCCATTCAGTCAATCAATTCTGTCTGCTCTGAAAACAATTCCATCTAGGATTTACATTCCTAAGATCACAGCATGGTCATTTCCTTTGGAAGATATTTGTACAGTTGAGAATGTCTTGCAATCATTGGATGATGTCTCGTTAGAAATTGAAAAATTTTCCGATCATGTTGTTAAGGTGACTTGGTTAACTTATTTCTTTTCTGTTTTTTTTATTAGTTATTATTATTATTAAGAACTTATTTTTTTTTTTTTTGCAGACATTGTTAACTTACCGTAAATCAAATGTTGGCTTGAACGAACCCAATCTTGAGAAGCATATTGAAAAAACACTGGTTGATGCTTTTTTTCCGTACCAGCGTCGAGGTGTAATGTATGTTTTACTATATGTTATTGGTTTGCTTCAAATCTGTACAGTTACTTCAAATAGAGAAGACTGAAATTCAAAAGAATGAAATTTATGGTCTTCTAGATATGGTGTAATGAGAAGAGGTCGACTGCTTCTGGCTGATGAAATGGGTCTTGGCAAATCGATCCAGGCTCTTGGTATAGCTCGGTATTTTAAATGTGATTGGCCTCTGCTTATTATATGTCCATCGTCTGTAAAATTCTCGTGGTTGAATGTATGCATGTCTTTGTTGCCAATTAAAGATTGAAGTTTTACATTGCATAACGAAATCGCAATTCGTCTTTCTGGTATTAGAAATCGGAAATTTACACATAAATGTCAGTTAGCTTTATTTTTTTATCCGGTGAAATTAGTTTAATTAAAGTTCAATTTGTTAAACTTATAGCAGTTCGAAAGTTTTTTACCGGCTGTTGGTGAAATTATCGTTATCGAAAAAGGAAGTGATCGTTTGCCATTAAAAAAAACCAAGCAAATGGTGGTAATTATGAGTTATGATTTAATGGTTTCCAAACAGTCTCATCTTATTGAATACGACTTTAAAGCAATCATTTTTGTAAGTCGGTTTTTTTCAAGGCTCAATAGCATCACTAAAATAGAATTTACTTTTTTTCCTTTAAATATTCAATATTTTTATTTTTCTCCGATCTTAATGTGCCCTTTAATTTCAAGGATGAGTCGCATTTGCTGAAGGATAGTAATGCTCAAAGAACCAAAGTTGCTACGAATATTTCAGTAAGTTTTCTAAAAACTTATGAGTCTAATCTGACTTTTCAGCTTTTTAATTTAAATATTCCAAATGAATTCATTTGTCTTTTTTTTTTTTTTTTTAAATCTAATTCACTTTTAATATTGTTTTACCGCACTTTGGTTATTTCTTCTAGCATGTTTTGTTACTTATCATTGATCAATTCACTCAGAAAAAAGCATTACGAGTTATTTTGCTGACTGGAACGCCAGCTCTTTCACGTCCAGTTGAACTATTCAGCCAAATTCGTATTATCGATTCTAAGATGTTCCCAAATTACCGCGACTTTGCAATTCGGTACTGTGATGGTAAACAGGGGAAATACAGTTTTGAAGCCAAGGGCTGTACAAATAGTGATGAGTTAGCAATAATTTTAACGGGTACCGTCATGTTGAGGTGAGACTTTCTGCTGCCTCATTTGGTACTATATTGTGATTTTTCTAAACGATAATTTCAGTCGAAAACTTTTTTAGGAGGTTGAAAAATGATGTCCTTAATGATCTTCCAATGAAGAAACGAGAAGTTGTTAATCTAACGGATGATTCCATTTATACAAATATTAGCAAATTGCGAGAAGCAAAGGCTGCTTATAGTGGTGCTAAGGTTTTTCTTAAAGTTATCATTAAGCTTAAATACATTAAGCAAGTAGTACTTAAGATTATGATGGCTTTTCATTTCTAGGATAATGATACAAAGCATCAAAGGCTGGTTGAGTACTACTACGAAACGGGAATTGCTAAAGCGAAGAGTGTTGCTCGGTATATTATTGATCATTATTTTTATGATGATGCACCAAAAAAGAAAGTGCTAATATTTGCTCATCATCAAGTTGTTTTGGATATGATATCAATAGACGTCGCGAAAAAGGTTATCAACTGATAATTTCTTTAATATATCCGGAATATAATAATACATAATTTTTTTTTTTTTTGTTAGAACGTGCAGGTGAAGAGTTAATGAAATGAGCAAGATGGGATTTGGTGGCGAATTTTTTTTTTGGATTAAGTAATGATTTCAGAATTGATTTATTTAACTAAAAATCAGAATATTTGCGATATTTGTTACAGGGGTTGCGATCGATACGAATCGATGGTACTACGGCTAGCCGGTTACGTGATGAGCAATGTCGGTTGTTTCAGGAAAATGATGATGTTATGGTTGCAGTTTTATCAATAACTGCTGCAGGTATCGGTGTCACTCTAACTGCTGCATCGGTTGTTGTATTCGCTGAATTACATTGGAATCCAGGTGTTAGTACTACTGTCAACATTGATTTGTATTGCCAAATTCGTGAAGTTATTCGAATTTTCTAGTTTTTTTTTTTTTGAAATTTTCTAGTTCCTGAGGCGATCTTATGCGGTAATGAATGAAGTTTTAAGGCTTTAGGGATTATTTTAAATCTTCAGCAAATATCTTGTCATGGAAATATCAGTTAAGGTTTTTGTCAAGCATTAATCACATTTTTGATGTGAAAATTGATCCTTTTATATTAGCTAATTTTAATTCTCCATTCTCACAATTAAAATTTTGGGATCATTTGTAGGAAGTGTAAAACTTCTTGTTAAATTACTGCATCAAATGAAGGAATAATATCCATCTTTTATTTCGATATAACTTATCGATACTATGTGCCACCGAAGAATATCTATAAAATAGACTTAATATTGACCATTTCTAATATGATAGTATACTTATATTGTATAAATTACGAATTAGAACTAGACAACGATTGCAGTTTAGAATAGAAAGGCTTAGAATAACTTAAACTGAAAAGTTCCAAACGACCATGGTTTTAAAATAGTTATTTATGCAATTTTGATGATATCGTTAGCTAACTTCTAACTTCATCAAAATAGTTTTTCTTTTTGTAGACTTTGAAGCAAGCTGAAGATCGTGCTCATAGACTTGGACAGAAAGATTCAGTTTTCGTTCAATATTTAATTGCTAAAGGTACAGCAGATGATATATTGTGGCCGCTAATTCAAAAGAAACTTGATGTTTTGCATTCATGCAGTTTATCGTCCGATACCTATCGTGTATGTCATCAAAACCATACTTTCTTCAATTATAAGTAGATATTATGTCTTTCAGCATGTGATACTGAAGTATTTTAAATTTTAATGAAGTGCTTTTGCAGAAAATATTTCTGCATATTACTAATGGTGCTGCAACTGAAAAGTAAGCCACCGTTGAATTAATTAATAATGATAGTTTAGGGCACGGATAGCGTTCAAACAACTATGGGTCCTGAAAGTGGTGGCTTAGAGGATCACTTTCCAAAGATTAAACGAATCAGATCTACTGCAGAGTAATTTTTTCTCACTTTATTCTATTTATTATATTAGATTTCGAAGTAATGTAATGTAATGTAATGCTTCCCACCAATGACAAAAAAATTGAATGGATTATTGTCTTGTTTGATCTCTGCCAACCAAATTACATCATTATATTCATTTCTATTTTGTATTTCTGGAAGGCTTGAAAAATGTTTGTACGAGTTTTTTTTTTATGCACATTGCGAGAATTCTTTTTTCTAAAAATTTTTTTTTATTTTTTGCAATATGTTTTCATAACTTAAAAAATATGCCGATTGTTTTGTCGACTGTGTGTTTTATTCTTATCTACTTTTTGCTGAATAAATATTGGTAAATCATTTTTCATCTTGAATAATGGAGAATTTTCTCAAGAATGAGATTGTGTGTAGTGCTTTTCAAAGGAAATAAATTAGCTGCATGTCATTTTTCCCCTTTGTTTTATAAAAATTCATAGGAACTATTTTCTCTTTTTGGACATAAGAATTTAAGTTTATTCTGTTAAGTTTAACTTTAGATTTAATCTGTTCAACATCTCAGACTAGAAGAGAAAGTGGTCCTCAGAAGATTTCAGTAACATTAAATGGAGAAGCAGTGAGGATTATTATATTTCATGTCCGTAATACTTTTTCCAAATGACGTAGTTGTGTACATTGCCTTCTAGATTACAGTTATTCCTTTTCAAAAATATAAAGGAATTTCAGTTCTTTGTTGGTTGAGTTATTCAATTTTAAGTTGATGCTACAATTTCCCTTGGTTGTCATGATATGACGTCTTTGTAATGCGTGAATTGAAATCATCAAAGCACTCTCAACTCAATGTATCAGCCTTTTGTGCTGTTAGGACTTTTGAAGTTTTTGAAAACTGAGACGTTCCAAATGGATGGTAACAACAGCAGTAAGTAATTCTTGCATATATGAGTGCAACTTTTGATAATTAGCGACTTTGACTAGTTGATTGGTCGGTAAATATGGGAATTATTTAAACTGAAGTTTAATTCATTTGTAGACGATGGAAGAAAACAAATTGATTAAGGATTTGATAAAATATCATTCTATTTGTTTAGTGATGTTTCCTGAGTTTTACTTTAGTTTTTCTCAAGATCAAAGCTAAGTTGAACACTGAAAAAAGTCTTTAATAATAACAGCTTCTTTGAGCGTAAAACGACAATTTGGAGTTCTTAAAATTTTATATTTATTATATTTCAAAATTTCTGATGAAACATCAATGCTTTCCTTTTACCAATTATTTTATAATTTTAAAGTATTACTTTAGAGTCGTTAAGATTTTTAGATTACATTTTCGGAGTATTTGTCACTAAAAAATTTTATAGGATCGGCATTTAAATGTATTAATCTATATTCCCATCAGCACCGTATTTTATCTCTAATATCTGTAATGATTCCTTGCTGTAAATCATACGGATATGTTCGATGATCGATTTTTAACTATTGTTTTAAACATAATATTTGAGCAATTTAATAAATTCTGTTAATAAATTTTGCTGTCTATAATTTCTTAAAGATAAAATTTCCTTCACTATTAAATTGGAGTATATACGCTTGAGTAAACTTTGTTTTTTTTTTTATCTTCTTTTTTAATTTGTCCGATACTCGAGATACCAATTGAATCAATTATACTTGACCTGCTTGATAAGGAGACAAAAGTATCTCTGATTTTTAACTCAAGAATCTCGAGTGACACTGCTAAAATATATTTTAGAAAATGTTGTCATGACGCACGTGTTCTTGTTATGCTTAACTTAGTTGGCAAGTATAAGTGTTATTGGTATTTCTGATGAGGTTGACTTAGCAGTTGACAAAAATGGATAATATTGAGAGTAATAAATGGAGTATGTCTTAAAAATCCTCATACGCAATATCTATTTGCGAATAGACATGATTTTCTCTGAAAGATGAAATTCAATTTAACTATTTCAAATTCGATTTTAGTATTTCTCATTTCAAATGCATCGATATGTCCTTGTTAACTATTTGATATAATATGTGATTTTGCTCAGTTTTCCACCAGTTCATTCGTTGTTTTCGTAACACCCAAAAAATTTGAACATTTTTTAACATTTGAAATTTATAATTGAGAATAAAAAAAAAAAGTTGATGCAAGATTAATAATTATCGTAGGAAGATAATAAAAATGATTGCTACTTTGCTAAACAAACTTATTTGAAAAAGTATTAACAATATTAATTAAGAATATATATGATAAGCGAATTACGAATTTAACTTATATAATTTCAAGTAGATACTAATTATGGCAAATCTTTTCATAATTTTAGTAATTTTTTTCTATATGAGAATGTATTTCGATGACTTATTTTGAAATTATTAAAGCATTAATATTCATATTTCGAAAAAGCGTTTCGTTTTTTGTTACAATTGAAAATTTTCAGCAATTTGGTGATATCTTTCCAGAGTAAGGAGATAATTGAGAAAAGTTAAAGTTAATTCTATTCTTGATATAGGATGACACATCATTTGTCACCAACTTATCTTTTGTCTACAATTCAATTTTGCACATTTTACCGAAATGATAGTATTTCGGTTCAATATTTCAATTTCAATCTTTTTTTCAAATTTTAAATAAATTAAATATGGGGAGAATATATATATATACTCATGAACGTTATTTCATAGAATATACTCTGATATTTATTCATCCATATCTCTCGTACTTTTCGGCTCTGTCCTTCCACTCATTCTAAACTAGAAGAAATACCGTAATCCCGAAAGACAGAGAGTCATACAGTTGACAGATGACACATGATCAGTTAATTATGACTCATTTGCAACAACATTCAATAGTAGTTTCACCTATCCCTGCTTAAAGAAATAACCAATGAAAGAATTTAGAAAAGAAAATATGAACAGTAGTAGGTACAGAAATGAAACAGCTGACTGATAAGTGATTTTAGAACTTATATAAGTAAAGCAAAAGATAGATGAGTTATGATAGTAGTGGTAGTGTTGCTGTTGCTGCTGCTAATGTTGCTGATACTGCTTTATCACTTAGAGTTGACAGAGTGATGGTTGGCCATCGATGCTGTCTATCATTCCGTAAACAACTGCTTTCGATGGTTTTACAGGACAAATACTTATGGCATTCGAGGACAGTGATCCATTATTTATGATGTCAGTTCGTTTCTCATTTATCTTTACTTCATCTTATACTTTCACCTCATTTCAGTTATCATTGTATCACTTGTCGTCTTATCATTTATCATTACAATTTTCATTGCTAACAAGGAGTAAATGATTTGACCGTTAAAAATAACATTCACAAATTCATTTCGAAATACTAATTCTGAATTACTTTTGTTTATTTCTGCTTTTTAGTGAAATGCAGAAGTATCAAGACACTTTCGCATAATATAATTTATTAATAACTTCAGTTTTTGTTCAAATTATAAAGATTAACTAATTGCTTTTTTAACTCAATAAGTGAGTGATAAAGAATGAAAGAAAAATACATCTATTTTAGAATTAATAACAACTTTATTAATAAAAGCCTTATGAATATTGCTTTATAAAGTGTAATATAAATTAGATAAAAATGAAAATTATGAAAACAAATTGTAATAGTCATAATCAGATGATCATATTAGTCGACATAATATAAATAATTCAAATACATATCAGTGTAATTATTTGCATCAATTCAATTCCATGAATCTAATTTAAAAGTTAATATTTTGCATTAAAAATATCCAAATTTAATCCTGAATTTTGATAAGATTGTCAACAATGCAATAAAAATAACGCTTATTTATTGAATACATATGAATAAATTAAAGTATTAATACATTGCTTCTGGGACTACCAATTACAATTAGAAATGTGACCACTCATTATTCGACCTACTACTACTAATTATCTTTTTTTTTTTTTCAAAATAATTATATCTTTTTTTATCTTTTTCAAAATAATGAAAAATTTCTAACATTAGAGAATTCATTCGTTTACTGGAAAATATTAGAAATTCACTGGAAAGCCGTCATCCATACAGAAGACAGAATTTTTCATCTATCCGTCCAGAAATGAATCAACCGGATAGCAATTCAATTATTTAATGCAATGCATCTCATTTATCACAATTGGATCACATATTGAAAACCATTCATTCTATATTGATGTCAAAGGTCATGGTAACAATCTGTCAAGCTTTCTCGCCTAATATGTGGAATTTTATAGACGAAATTCGATGGAGAAATAGCAATCCAACAATTTAACCAGCTGAATAATTAATTAATTTTGCCCTCAAATTATGATAAGTCTTTTAGCATGAAGCATTGATTACTTAAAATTTCTGAAAATATCTCTCTCATAATGAATTGACTATCACTTGGATATCTTTTTCTTGAGATCCATGTTTGATGTCAATCTGAGATCCAATTTCAATTTTATGCTTTTTTCTTTTTTTTTTTTTTATTTATTTACTATCTATTGCTTTTTATGCTAAATGTAATGGACGATTTAAGTTGTAAAAAAATAGCCAATTTTATGGAAATGTTGCCTAACGATGGCAATTTACTGAGAAATGGTCTTTAGCCATAAAATTGAATGACAACAAAAGAGACGTATAATCGATGATAGCTGTTCTAATGTCTGTTATAAATTGATTAAATTTCATAGAAGTGAAATGATTCAATTAAATTTAATACAGGGAAATATTCCTTTTAATTATCTTTGTGTTTTTTATGTTAACTCTAAATTTCTGCAATTCATTTTTCTTTCACTGATTTCTATTTAGCAAAACAAATGTTTATTTATTGATTTTTGCTTTCTCTTTTCTTTCATTTTAACAAACTGAAGTAAATTTTAATTTTTCGTGTTGTTTTCCATTTTTTTTTTTAATTAAATTTTGCAAAAGAAAATAAAAACAAACAATAAAGAGAGGATGAAGAATAAATTGTTTATTACGAAGTAAAAAAAAAAAAAGACATTTCTGTTATTTGTTTTTTGATATTTGATATGTGCTTTGCT